CGCCTCAGGCGGCGGCTCCCGCGGCCCGGGGCCCGACATGCGGCCGGCGGGGACGCGGGGACGCGGGGACGCGGCGGGAGGCGGCTCCGGCCCGAGCAGGACGCCGGCTCCGCGGGCGCGCCGTTGGGGGAGGGAAACCGCTGAGCGCCGCGCAGCGCGCCTGCGCCGCCCCGCCCCCAACGGTAACCCCACCCCCGCCGGCCACGCCCCGTTACCCGCCCGGTCGGGCCCAACCGCCCGCCGCTCGGCCCCTCCCGCGCCGGCGGCCTCGTGAGCTGAGGGCCCGCCCCGACCGCCCGGTCACGCCCACCCTGGGCACGCCCCGCCAGGCCACGCCCCGTTTCCCAGACCCCGCCCCCACCGCCTGGCCACGGCCGCACAAAGGCCACGCCCCATTTCCCAACCTTTGCCTGTCCACGGCCCCAGGCCACGCCCCCACCCTGGCCTTCACCCCGGCCGTGCTCCCCACAGCCTCCCCACACCCGGTTTCCCCACCACGCCTCGCTTCCAGGCCTCATCCCCGGCACCCGACCTTGACCCCCTGCGGCTCCAGGCCACGCCCCCACTCCGACCAGGCTCCCCACAGCCTAGCCACGCCCAGTTTCCCGACCACTCCCTGCTGCCAGGCCACGGCCCGCGACCGGCCACGCCTATTTCCCGCCCCCGCCCCCACAGCCTGGCCTCTCCCCCTTGCCAGGCCACGCCTCTGTTCCCCGGCCACGCCCATTTCCCAGACCATGCCTCCCACAGTCTGGTCACGCCCCATTACTCGACCACACCCCCACCGCGCCACACTCCCCAGGTTGGCCATGCCCAGTTTCCTGACCACGCTCTGCATCGAGGCCACGCCTCTGCTCCCCGGCCACGCCCCCGCCACCCGGCCACGCCCCTGGCATACGGCCGGTCCCAGAGGCCCCGCCTCGCTCCCCGCATTTGTCCGGAATCAGGACCGTCAGCCCTTGGCTGGCACCATCGCCGCAGCAGGCCGCTTCTGCGACGTCTCGGACACTTGGCCGCGGAGCCAGTCGCTTCTTTTCCAGCCTGAGGCCGCGCTGTACGTGCGGCCTCGTGACTGCTTGTCCTCGTGTCCGCGTGCTGTGTCCCCGGTGGGGAAGTGCCCCCTGCTCGGCAAGGGCGTCAGGATTTAAGAGCATGTATTTGACACCTGACGTAGACATTTATTCCGGAAGACGGTGAAGGTCACGGATACCTGGGTGAAATCAACTTGGTGGGACACAGACCGACTGGGTGCCCCACGGAGCACTGTGCCGAGGACAGCTCCGTCCTGGTTTCGTGGGACCTGCGTGGAGTTACACCTGCGACCAAAGGCAGAACCGGACACATCGTACCACGTTTGTTGCCGGGGCTGATACCGCACTGTGGCCGTATAAAATGCAACCATTGCAGAAACTGGGTGAGAGGTACACGGGGCCTATTTTTATGATTTTTGCAACTTCCTGTGAATCTATAGTTATTTCAAAATTTAAAAATTTTAAATTCAATTGTAGTTTTATAAAATAATCAGAAATTTAATTTTTAATAGATGCTATTTGGCATGGTATAAAAAATGTGAAATACTTAGGAATAAATTTGACAGAAGATGTGAAAGACCTGTACACTGAAAACTATGAAATATTGTTGAGAGAAACTGAAAAACATGTATAAATGTAGAGATATATACCATGTTCATGGATTGGAAAGTTTGATAGTGGTAAGATGTCTGTCCTTCCCAAAACTGATGTTTCCTCCAGCAATGTCTTAGTGCATGTGGGCTGCTCTAACAAAATATCTTAAATTGGATAATTTATGAACAACAGAAATTTATTGCTCACAGTTCTGGAGGCTGGGAATTCCAAGGTCAAGGCTCCAGCATCTTTGGTGTCTGGCGAGGACCTGTTCCTCGTAGGTGCTGCCTTCTTGCTGCATCCTTATATAGCAGAAAGAGAAAACAGGCTCCCGCAAGCCTTTTGTAAGGACTAATCCATTCACGAGGGTGGAACCCCCATTCCCTAAGAACCTACTACAGGCTCCTCCTAATGCCACCACAGTGGGGATTAGATTTCGACATGAACTTTGGAGGGACACAAATGTTCAGACCGTAGCAAGCAGCCTTTAAACAAAAACTTCTTGGAAGGTCAGGCAGGGCAGGGCCAGCAGTCAGGGCTGCAGCTGCTCCGCCTCACTCCGCATCTCCTGAAGCTTTCTGGGTTCCTGGGCCGGTGGCTTTTCAGTTCCATGATGTGGGCCAGCTTCTCCTGCAAGACCCCACAGCACACCACTGAGGTCGGAGGTGAAGAGAGCTGACACGGGTGTGGCGCTGCTTGGGCCCCAGCTGGTCCTTGCTTGGCCCCACTGCACACCCACCGTCTGTACCTGCTGCTGCCTTGCGGACTTCACGCTTCAGCATCGACGTGATGACGACAGCCAAGCAGAGACCCTCAGTCAGCTCCCAGAACTGCGCAAGGCCAAATCCCTTGGAAGTAAATATATCTGTATCTGTACCTGAAGTCTCCTGGCGGCTCTGCTTCTCTGTTGCACGCTGACGGATCAGAATTCAACACTGTAAATGTGGTTCCAGAGAGACAGAACTGTAAGAACGACCGCTCTAGAATGGTTTTGGGTTACCTGGAGTTGGATCTTGATCTGATTCGATTTCAAAGCAACAATGACCCTGTTTGCCCTGGTAAAGAGGCACTGATAACCCACACATCTATCATCGTAGGAAACTGTGATCCAGTGTGTATAGAAAGCTAGACTTTGGGTGACCAAGTACTTGCCGCCTTAAAATAGTTTGGTAAATATGTAGAGGAGAACAGGGTTGGATGGTTCTTCCCAAGTGCCCCGGATAACCTGGGAGAAGAAAACGATGGCTCAGGGCTGTCGACTCCCGGCTCCAGGTCTGAATGAGGAACCTGAAAGCTACTTGGGAGGCTGAGGCGGGAGGCTGCTTGAGCCCAGGAGTTGGAGGCTGCAGTGAGCTGTGATGACGCCACTGCACTCCAGCCTGGGCCACAGAGTGAGACCCAGTCTCAGAAAAAAATAATTTAATGTTTAAGTGTTTGATATGCAGATTTAAATATTTAAATAAATATCATTTAATAGATTGATAGGACCAAGAAATGGGATATGGAACAAGGTTTGAGTTTCCTCTGCTGGCCCAGAAGTTCCTTATCCACTGAGGTGTTGACTCATCATATTCAGACACAGACAAGGAAAGACAAAGCAAAGAAAAATTTCAGGCAGCTGCTTTGGACTTCCGAGCAAATGAAGGTGGGTCTGAGCTCTCAGAAGCTCACGTCCCCGTGGCGGGCAGAGGTGACCAGGAGCTGAGGCCCAGGTTCAGACAAAGTCACGACGGCAGGCCCGGGCTGGCAAGGAGCGAGGGCGGCTCACGGGACCGGGAGGCCTCCTCCGCACCGGGCCTTCCCTCCACTTCCGCCACACGAAAGGGCCGTGTCCATTGCTGGCTCCTGTAATTATGCACACGCGTGAGGGTCCTGTGACGACGGAGGCTGTCACTGCAGAGCGAAAGCATCTCTTCTTCCAGAATAACGTGTGGCTGATGCTGGATCACCTTCTAGAGACCAACGTCTTTCTTCTCCCTGACTTGTGCGTGTGCACGTGTGCGTGCCTGTTTTTGGTGTGTACACATGCACTGTGAGTGGTGTATGTGTGCACACGTGTGTGCGTACGTGTAGGGTGGGACTCACTCTGGTGGTTGCTGAGCCCTGGCCAGCCTCCTCCTCCAGTTCACGCAGTGACACTCACCTTTCGGGGCACAGGTCTCCAAGTTCTGACAAATGCCAACGTCACAGAACCAAGACTGCATTCCAGGTGTAGACCGGCTCCGGCCCCCACACTCCTCAGGCGGCCCCTCGGTGGCTCCCCACCAGCTCGTCCCCCGGATGCCCCGGAGCCTGGCTTGTTCCCTCCTCGCCTCCTGCCCAAGACGCGTCCACGCTGCCACGCCACAGGGCCACATGTGGCTGCACCACGGTTCCTCATTCATAAAGGACGTTCAGGTTGTTTCCTGGCTTTGGCAATTATGACTAAATCACCGTAAACACTTGTTTACAGGTTTTCGTGTGAAGGTGCATCTTTGCTCATTTAGGGCAGCACCTCCGCCCTTTAACGATAAGATTGCTCCCGTGAGAACCTCCTTGGACCTCTTTTCCTTCGTGCTCCTCCCCCCACGACACTGCAATGCCACATCCGCGTGTCTGTTTCCATGCTGGACCCTTTCATGAGCCACAAACCGTTGCCCCAGCTAAGACCGCCCCCCCAGCCAATTTCACCCTCTGGGGGGTGACTTTGTCCCCCCAACCACGCAGGCTCCAGGGCAGCGTCTAGGAGGAGATTTCTGGGTTGTGGATGATTTCACTCCAACTTTCTAAAATCGGGGGCACCATTTTGCCCTCCTACCAGCCAGACACGCGCTGCATCCCCATCGGCTCTTATTATCGTCAGCTTTTGACAGGCAGCGTGTGGCACACACTGTTGTAGCATCTACTGTGATGACAGTTCTTTTGCACCCACAGACCCTGTTTTCGGGGGACAGTGTGCTCAAGCCCCTCCTGCTCAGCCTCCGGCCTCCTTGTGGCTGGGACGGTCCCGTGCCTGCTACAGAGAGGACCGGAATTTGAGAGGAGCACAGGTGTAGCAGGCAGGCCTGGTGAGCCTCGTCTCTCCCACTGGCTTCTTCACGGAACAGTGATGTGATGTCTGCAGGGCAGTCTTCTTGCAACCATGAGGACAAAAGGTGCAGCTGAGGGTGGGCCAAACGGGAAGGCAGATGGAGCCTGGACCCCGATGATGCCAAGAACCATGCCATTGCGGCGGCCCACCCTGCCTGTGGGAAGCACACACACAAAACCCTCTTTTTGTTTAAGTCCCTGTTCCTTAGGTTTTCCATCTCTTGTACCTAACTGCATTTCCTTAGTGACGTTTCCCTGACCGTTAGCAACAGGTGCGCAGAAGAAGGGCCAGACGTCACTGCAACGTCGTCCGACGGCTTTGGGGCACCTCAGTTTTCTTCGTGCGTCTTTCATTTCCCATATTCTCCCCTGTGAACACTTAGGACCTCACAAATCTATGGGGAGCACATATTCTCTTAAAAGTAGAGATATAAACCTTTTGAACAGTGTGAAAAATGTAATAATGTGTCAAGGAATACTTGACACCTTTGGAAATTACTGAGGATATGACAAGTAGAAAAAAAAACCCACGAGAATGTATATAATCATGATTTTGTAAAAAAAAAAAAAATTAGACGCAGAGAGGGAGAAAAGATTCAGGAAAATATACCAAACTGTTAACAGCAGTTACGGCTGGATATAGAATCAGGGGTGGGTTTGGTTTTCCTCTCTGCCAAGAGCCCTGCGGGAAGCAGGTGCGGCAGGACCCAGCAGCTGAGAGCCGCTTGCTTCCCTCTGAGGGGCCAAGGTCAGGGCCGTGTGCCACGTGCCATGTGGCGTTTACCTTTTCTCCACTTCTGTTCAGGCCCCTCCTAGAGTGTGGCCATCCCACAGGCGTGGCCGTGGCTGCTTGTCTTGGACTCGTGGATGCGCAAGTGGGGTGGGGCAGGCAGGTGCCCACCGAGTTTTCTAGCAGGGGCTCTCTCCCTCTCCCCGACAGCTGCCTCTGCAGGACGCAGCGCCCACGCAACCCGCTGCCTGTGAGCACCGCGCTCTCAGGCCCAGGCGCTTCCCTGCCTTGTGTGGTGGACACGGCTTCTGGGGGCCTGGCTGGAGCTGGACTACCCCTCAGTCACGTTTCCAGAAAGCCCCACAGCGCCGCGCGCTCCTGTCCCGCGGTGATGTCGGCTGAGTGGGGCTGCGTCGTGGTCATAGGGGCTGGTCCTGGAGGAGTCGGGGATGGGGGGGCCGGGACCTGGACAGGGCAGGACAGCCGCAGAGGCCCAAGGCTGCGGGCGTTTTGGTGGGGACTTGGGGAGAAAGAATGAACTTCCGAGGACTTTAAATGGGGCAGTTTCCAGGCATTTTGGGGAAACTAACAGTAATCTGTGGGCCAAAAAGAAAACAAGGTCTCACAGTTTGGGGCCAGCTACCCCGAGACTCCTTAGCTTCTGTGCAGCAGGGCGGAAGCGTTGACTATTTAGCAAAACCTCACGACCAGGTGCAGTCTACAGAGCAGCCTTCCCAGGGAGGGGAACCGCAGACCTGCCTCTGCCTTTGTGGGTCCGTGTGACTTGAGGTGTCAGGGCCGTCACAAGGTGGTTTTGCAGCAGTGACAGTGGTTCTGGGTGGCCAGGGGCTGCCCGGCCGGCAGTGCTGCCCCAGGCGGGTCCTTGTGAGGTCTCTGCTTCGCTGCCGCTTCCCGACCCCCCTGTTGTGAGCTCCGCTGCCCCACCCAGTGCTCTGCGGGTGGCAGGGTGCTGGATGCAGGTGCTTGTTTGGAAGCCCAGGAGTTGCCAATGAACTCGGGTATGTGCAGCCTCCCAGCTGGATGAAGCTCAAGGACAAGGTCCACCTCCGCCTCCGTGAGCAGGTGTTTCCCCTCAACCTCAAAGTGCCGGTCTGGGCCACCATCTCCACCTGAACACTCACTTCCTGCCAGCTCTCACAGCGGCTGGACGCTCACATGGGCCTGCGCCCGCCTCAGCTTCAGCCCCAGGCGGGCTGGGGCTTGGGGCAAGTTCTGCCACCGTGTCCCCTGCTGGGCCTTCCCTACACTCTTGACCACACCAGCTCTGACCTCGCCAGGCCAGGAGGCACCTGCTCTGCCCAAGGACTGGCAGGCAGCGCTGCGGGTCGGGTGGCGGGAGGCCCTCTTGTGGACAGAGCTGCCGAGTGGCCAGGATGTGGGGCCCTGGGCCTGGCCAGTCACACTCTGGGCTCGCCCTGCGCTCAGCAAGGGTCCGAAGGCACCCTGCCCACACCGCGCAAACCTGCAACAAGACACCGGCGGTCAGGGCTGTGTCCAACCTCAGCGCTCCTGGCATTAAAAAAAGGCTGATGAAGACACACGAGACAAAAACTTTCGTAGATGTTTATTCTACTTCAAGTAACAAAATCTATGAAGTTCCATGTTTTAATGTACAGTGATATAATACTCTGCAATATAAAATACAATTTACAGAAATTTCTATCAAGTAAACCTAAAGAAACACACTGATTTTTACATTTGTGTATTTAAATTAGAAAAATTTGCTTTCTATGTAAAAAAAACCTTCACATCATATTAGATGTTGGAACGATACCTACTTTACTGTAATTTAACCTACTGACACTTGGTTTAAAATACCAAACTTCCCAAATTGATAGGTTCTCGATGTTTTCTTAACTTAAAAATTTGTGCTATAAAGTGAAAAATCCGTAGTGATGTACAATGGAATAACAGACTCCAAAGAACAAATGAAATTCTCTAATTTTACATCTGTAAAAGTAAGTTTATGAAAATATAAAAAAATTATCAAAGTGTATTTGTACAAATAAATTAGCCAGATTTTCTCTATGTCACGCTTCGGAAGTACTTGGAAATACACGACCGGAGGCAGACGCTGTATTTCACGGTGACAAGCTTTCCGTGTTGTTTGCAGTTCTTGAACTAATAATCAGCTATTTTCCACCTCAGACTTTATACAAACATCGTTCCATTTACAGTGACAAACTTCAGATCTACCGCCGGACAAGTCCCACGGTCTGGAGCCGAGCTGAGCGCACCCTCCCCGGGACACGGAGGGGCCGCGCGGGTGGCAAATGCCCCGTGCCAGGTTCCTGACTGTTCGCATCAAAGAACCCCGCCCACAACCACCCTTTCAAAGTACACTTAACTGGTTTATTTTGTCATTTTCTTTAGGCTGGTAAAATTTAAACATTTTCCAATAAATTGTTATTTAAACGCAACAATTTCTACTAGGACAGATGTTGCTTTGAATCACGTTTTTGAAAAAAATTTATAAGGTGATATATAGAAACTGTGCGAAACTGAGAAATGTGTTTTTGTGTCCTGGTTGAAATTTGTAATTCGAACTTCCTTATGACAAAAGAAAAGATGCATTTGTAAGTTTTTTGTTTCTCAACATTCCAGATCCTCATCCTGCCCTCCCGCAGCCAGGGCAAGAACACAGGCCGGGGGCTGCTACAGGCCTGAGAAACAGCTTCGCAGACAGAGATACAGAGATGCCGGCAAAGGTATGGCTCTAAGGTCCGATGAAACTCCCTTACAATTTACAATAGTCAAGTTATTGGAAAAGACAGCTTTTTAATCTGAAAAAGCAATATGCTCTTGTAGACATTTTCCCATTTCTGTAATTTTAAATGGAAATATTAAGAGTTCTCAGTTTCTTTTTTTAAAAGCATCAGAACTGTAAAGGTGAAATCTTGTAAGAAACCATTTACACAAAATTACAGTAACTTCTGAAGTCCAGAATATTCTACCCCGAATCTAAGTTCATAACTATCTCAAAAACTATTTGTTCGACACATTTTATGGACGTGGCTCTCCCAAGGGTCTCTGCCAGGCCGAGGCGTGAGCCCGCTGGCCGGCGGCGGGCGCCGTGGCGGCTGGGCCCTAGGCCTGCGCGTCCGAGGCCCTGGCGGCCTCAGGCTTTGGGTCCTGAGCGCTCTCTTTGCTCTTGCTCCGGTCCTTGCGGTCACGGCCCCGCAGCTCGCGGTCTCTGTCCCTCGCCCTCTCTCGGTCCCGCTCTCGGCTCCGGGACCGGTCTCGGTCTCGCCTGCGGTCGCGCTCTCGATCCCTGTTCCTGCCCCTGTCCCGGCCGCGGTCGGCCTCCCGCTCCTTGTCCCTGTTCGTGCTCCTCTCTCGGCTCCTGTCCCACTCGCGGCCGGAGTCCCTGTCCCGGTGCCGCTCCCACTCGCGGCTGCGATCCCAGTCTCTCTCTCTGCCCCAGTTGTGGCCGCGCTCCCGCTCCCTCCTCCTGTCCTCAAACGCCCGGCCCGGCCGGCCCTCGGGCAGCCGGGCTTCCGGCTCCTCCGGGGCTTTCTCACGCGGCCTCCCGTCAAAGGCCTGGCTCCTGTGCTCGTGGCCCTTGCCCTCCCGCAGCTCGGGCGGCGCCCACTGCCCGTCAGCCTCGGGGCCCTGTCCGGGCGCTCCGGGGGGCAGGGTGGGGGGCGGCCCCGCCTCGTCCCAGCGATCCTTCCTGTGCTGCGGCGGGTGGCTGGGGAGCTCCAGCAGGGGCCGGGGCGCTGGCTTCAGCACCTGCGGGGGCTGGCCTTGGAAGTGAAACCGAGGGGCCTGCTCGCTCTTTTCAGAAAAGGGTGCGGACCCCCTGGGCCCACCGAAGGGGAGGGGCGCTGGTGCCCTCTGATTTGCAAATCTCGGTGGTGAGTTTACCCTTTGCTCTTCGAAGGGCTGGGACGGAATCCCCCTGGGACCCGGCATGAAATTCGGTGCTTGGCCTCTGGGTCCTTCAAACTGATTGGGATGGGGGCCCCGGGCGGGTTCAAACTGACTGGGATGGGGCCCTCTTGGGCCCACAAAATGGCCAGGGGGTGGTCCTCTCTGACCTCCAAACTGAGCAGGAGGGGGGCCTCCTCGGGGCCCTTTCAGCTGAGACAGCAGAGGTCTTCTCTGGCCTCCAAACTGGAAAGGTGCCGGGCCTCTGCCTCCCACATGCTGGGCTTGCTCTGGTCCTTCAAGTTGGGCAGGGGGGCCCGCCATCTCGTTATATGGGGTGTCCTGGAATTCCCTTTTCTCCCCACGGGGGTCCTTGCGGTCTTCAAATTGAGAGGGTGCAGCTCCTCTCGGCCCACCCAGGTAGGAGGGTGAGGGGCCTCTGCTGTCCCCATAGGGTGGTGGCCCGTGTGGCCCTGAGAATAAGGAAGGGAGGGGTCCCTTCTGGGCTCCGAATCTGGCGGGAGGAGGCCCTCTTGGCCCCTCCGTATTAGGAATGAGACTCTCTTCTGAAAACGGGAGGACTGGCCCCCTTGGCCCTGGGAAAGTGGGGCCATGAAGCCCTGACATCCCGAAAGCTCGAGGCCCCGGGTCACGGTGACCCTGGCACTGGGGCTGAGGGGCCCCTCCTTTCTGTCCGGGCAGGGGGAACAGGGCAGCCCCCTCGCCAGGCCTGGCCTGTAGCTCTCTGTCGCCCTCAGCCTCCCGGGTGGGGCTGTCACTCTTCCCAGCAGAATGAGGATTTCTTGGGTCCTCATACTGGGTGGGGCCTAGAGACTGTTCCTGAGACGTGAACCCTGGACCTGAGAAGGGGTCCTTGGCCCCGTCGCCCTGCAGAGGGCAGCTGGGCTGCAAGGAGGCGCTGGGGGGAGTGGGCAGCAGCACCCTCCGGGCTGGCCTGGCCGAGCTGTCACCAGCAGTGGGGTGGCCGCTCTCCCCAGGCTGCAGGGCGGGACTGCCCGAGGGCTCACCCCTGGGATCCTGGTCTGAGGCCGGCGGGGCCTTCTCAGCTGGAGCCCACGGAGGAGCCTCCTCTTCCTGGGCCAGCCCCAGCACCTGCCCCACAGCAGGGCCTCCGGAAGCTTCTCTCGCTGCCGGGGCACCCTGTGTGCTGTTTGCCGGGCCCTTCGGGAGAGGCTCGCCCTCGCTGCTCTCGGTGGCCAGCCGCCGGGCCTGCCGCGGGTCTCTCTGGCTCAAGGCCTGGGAGGCCTGGCTTGGGGGAGGCAGTGCCGGCCTGTCTGCCGTCTGCGGCTCTTGCTGGAACAGCTCGGCCTTGGGCAGGGATGACTTGGGTGGCGGGGACATGAGCGCATCCGACACTGAGAAGTGGGCCATGGAGACCCCGACGGCCGCCCTCTGCTGCCGCAGCGCCTCCTCCTGCTCCTCCAGCTGCCTCTTCTGCTCCTCGATCTGCCGGTTCAGTTCCTCCAGCATGCGCTGCTGCTCCACCAGAGAGGGGACCGCGCCGGCCGCGCCCTCGGCGGACCTCTCCGTGGGGTTGCTCCTGACGTCTGCGCACATCCTGTTGGGCAGGTCGTCCACGGTCACTTTGGCTTCTTCTAGAATCGTTTCGTCCTCGGGGTCGTAGGCCACCTCTTCCCGCTCGGTGGCCTCGGGAGCCCGCTGCCCGTCCTGACACGTGCCCCGCTCCGCGAGCTGGCTGTCGAAGGCCCCCTCTGGGTTGTACTCCTCCTCGGGGTCATACGGCCTGTCGTCCTCCTCCTCCTCCAGGGCCTTACCTTGTGGGAACTGACCAAACTGCTGAACGATCGGGTCCAGCAGAGGAGGTGCTGACACCCCGTCGCCCACCTTGGCTTTGGAATCCTGGGAGGAAGCGGCCACGGGCCCAGCAGCCTCTTTGGCAGGAGGGTCGAAGGATTTCTTCTTTCCAAAGAGAGTCTGCAGGATGTGTTCCAGCGGCGAAGCGGTTTTCGAAGTAGATGAAGTGACGCAGGAAGCCACTGCTGGGACTGCTGCTGACGCAGGTGGCGGTTTGAAGGATGACAGCACCTTCACACTCGGCGGCTCTGGGGGAGGGGGCGGGGGTGGAGGAGACCCTGGGGGCGTGGAGCCGACGGCTGTGTCCCCAGAGTGGAGCTGGTACCTGGAGGGCTTCTTGTCAGACTGCGGCCCCGCAGTCACTTTGGGACCGACCGCAGCGTCCGTTTCCTCTTGGAGCCGGGCCCGCTTCTCGTCCCCCTTGTCCGGCTCACCAGCATTCGAAGGCCGTTTCACTTTTTGACAGATTACTAACCCAAGGATTATATTCGGACGTGGTGACTCAAGACCTGAAAAACAAAATATTTGTGCAAATTTTAGAATTTAAATCCAGCTTTCATTCTTCAGAGGTAAATTTTATTAAGGGCGTTGGTGGGAAATGTTTAATAGGCAGAAGGATGACATTCTACGGCAAAATGAAAGCAAGGTCCAAGAAGCTCGTGGCAAAGCCCCGATGGCTCCAGCCCAGTGCACCTGCCCAGTCCCGACGGAGCCGGGAGCCCCTCGCCACAAACACAGAGCCCAGGGCCCAGCTCATGAGTAAATCCATCCCTGTCGTCAGAATTTGTTCCATGTTTTAAAAAACTACATGTGATGCTAAAGCGATAGCTGGTGGCGGTGGTGGGAGGGCAGGTATGCAGACCCCCAACACCGCTGACCCCGCCACGCGGAGGCACGTGCCAGCGTGGCTTGATGACAAAATCTTAGCCGTGCTCTTTAATAACCTCTTGCTACTTATCAGAAAGGTGACAGCCCCTTTTGTCTTTAACTTATGAGTTGCCAACACAGATATTTAAGCTAAGTATGCCAACATCAAATGTTCGATAAGGGACCAGGCACGAGGTAAATTCAATAGTCTCTGGCATCAGAATGACAGTTAATGGGAAAAATGCCGTTGACTGAAATGGCTAAAAGGAATGTTTTAGGTTTAGAAGGAAATTCAGTGAGCACTAACTTATCAAAAATGAATGCTCAAGACTTTGTAAGCCCCGGATGTCCTGCTAAATCAAGCACGAGGCCCCGGCACGCGGGCGGTGAGGGGCAGCCCACACAGAGGAAGCACGCAGAGTCGTAGGGTGCAGCATTCATTTTTAAAGATAATTATTTCTTAAAAACAGATTACTGTAAACATCCTAAGCTCTGGGAACTTAGATCAGGAAGGCTAACATTCCAGAAATGATCCCCCCGACTCACAGTAACTCAAGAATACCAAAGGGGAACAAAAAATGCAAGTCACAACAACAACAGGGAAAAACGACATACAAAGGACAGAATGTTAACAGTGCAAATATGTTTAGGGTTAATCAAATGGTGTAAGTTCAGCTTATGGAAAACTTAGTACTACCGTGGTATACAAAAGGCATTTTATACTATGGCATTTTTTATTCCTTGCAATTAAAACCAGTGCTAAGATTTCCCTGTTCTTTTTGTGGTTTTAACGATTACCGCAACTCACTCTGAGAAGAGTAGATTTTGGATACCACTGTGTGGTTTTAAACACGTTTGCTGTCAATCTTCCTAAACTCCTCAATCACACAGACAGTCTGAGCACAGGAGGGAGGGTGGGTGTCCTATTGCACCCCTTAAGAGGGGGACCCCAGGCCTGGCCGACTGCACTGCCACCGCCTCCTGGGGACTTAGGGCCTCTCGTCTCCCAGGCTGGTGTGCAGAGCCGACTCCCACCTCACAAAGGTGCCCATTCATCAGCTGTCCGCAGGACACAGCCTAGTACCTTCCCACCACCCCTCCTCCCTGCCCCTCTGGCGGTGGCAGAGCACCAGAGAAAGGAAGGGGTGGGCGCGGGTGGGCAGACACGGGACAGCCAGGCAGGCCGCGCTGAAGACCATGTCCACGTTTTCCTGCTCGGCAAATATGAAGGGAATCCACCAAGTTCATTTTCTAATTAACATGAATTAAGAATATTTTTTTTTTTTTTTGAGACAGAGTCTCACTGTGTTGTCCGGGCTAGAGGGTTGGGGGAGGCAGTGCCGGCCTGTCTGCCGTCTGCGGCTCTTGCTGGAACAGCTCGGCCTTGGGCAGGGATGACTTGGGTGGCGGGGACATGAGCGCATCCGACACTGAGAAGTGGGCCATGGAGACCCCGACGGCCGCCCTCTGCTGCCGCAGCGCCTCCTCCTGCTCCTCCAGCTGCCTCTTCTGCTCCTCGATCTGCCGGTTCAGTTCCTCCAGCATGCGCTGCTGCTCCACCAGAGAGGGGACCGCGCCGGCCGCGCCCTCGGCGGACCTCTCCGTGGGGTTGCTCCTGACGTCTGCGCACATCCTGTTGGGCAGGTCGTCCACGGTCACTTTGGCTTCTTCTAGAATCGTTTCGTCCTCGGGGTCGTAGGCCACCTCTTCCCGCTCGGTGGCCTCGGGAGCCCGCTGCCCGTCCTGACACGTGCCCCGCTCCGCGAGCTGGCTGTCGAAGGCCCCCTCTGGGTTGTACTCCTCCTCGGGGTCATACGGCCTGTCGTCCTCCTCCTCCTCCAGGGCCTTACCTTGTGGGAACTGACCAAACTGCTGAACGATCGGGTCCAGCAGAGGAGGTGCTGACACCCCGTCGCCCAC